TAAGCTTGTTCCAAGTAGGTGCTTTAGACCACTGAGCCATCTCACCAGCCCTGATTTTTTTCTTTGTACGGGTCTGGCCTCATCGTTATAGATCATATAGATCATACTGTGAATCCAATTATATATCCTACATTTTTATCTTAACATGTTTTGTTTGCTTATTTTGTTTCTGCAATGCTAGTTATTAAGGCCAGAACCTTGCTTCTGTTTTTTTGTTGTTTTTTGTAGGCCTGGTTCACAGCCAACAAGTACTCTCCCACTGAGTTACTGTTAACTTGGCATTTACATATCTATTCTTATTTTAACATCTTTTTAAAAACATTTTTACTTTTTAACATCTTTTTGGTATAAACCTAGGAATTGAATTCTAAGTGTAAACCTAGGATATGATTTGGTTTAACTTTTAGAGGAAATGCCAAACCCTTTATTTCTTTAATTATAAATAATGCTTAAATGAGTATGTGTATAGAAAACTTTTTTTTTTTTTTTTTTTAACGGAACCGGGGGTTGAACTCAGGCCCTTGTGCTTGCAAGGCAAGCGCTTATTCTACTGAGCCATCTCCCCGGCCCCCAGAAAGTATTTTTGACCTTTCTAGTTTTTAAAAATTCCTGATATTAATGAGTTAAAGGGTGTGACATTTTGAAACATCGTGGCAAATGTTATCCAAAAGGGTTGAACTTCCTCTCCTGTTGCCACAAGTGTCTGAAAATGCCCTTGTCACCAGACCAACATCATACCTAGTATTTCACTGTTTTAAATGTTGGAGAATGATGTTGTTCACATCTAATGGAACCACAGCTTGACCACAGAATGGCTTCCCTGGCATAGCTCCTGATCATTAGTTCTGAGGAATTTTCTCTTCCTCTGCTCTTTTGCCTGGGCTGACCCATCCGAGACTTGAGATCCTGTTACATCTAACTTCCCAACCCATCTCTGGTCTATCCTCTTTCCCCATCCAACCAGTGAAGATGAATTTCACTGGTCCTATAAAAGATGTCCTCGGGGAGATAACTCAGAGCCATAAGCACCTGCCTAGCAGCCACAAGGACCCAGGTTCGATCCCCAGCCCCCAGGCCTGAATGCTGTGCTGGCCCCAGAACCAGGCCTGGTGGTGCACACCTGTAATCCCAGCACTTGGGAGGTTGAGACAAGAGGGTCGCTGCAAGTTCGAGACCAGCTGGGGCTATAAAGTGAGCTCAAGGGCTCAAGGCCAGCCCAAACTGCATAGTGAGACCCTATCTCCAAAAAAAAAAAAAAAGTAAAAGTCCTCTAGTTCTTCCTGCCACTGTGTCCCCTCCAGAAGACTCCTCTCTGATGCCTTCCCACCCAAGCAGTTCTCACAACTCTTTTGTCTTTCCCTTCTGATCTTCTCCAGTTCTACAGTGAGTCGGGCATGCCTACCAAACACCTCTCTGACAGCGTGTGTGCCGTGTGTGGACAGCAGATCTTTGTAGATGTCAGCGAAGAGGGCATCATCGAGAACACCTACAGGCTCTCCTGCAATCATGTGTATCCTGCTTTTCAGCACCTTGGCCCACACTCTCCTGTGGCCCTCTGTTCTGTCAGAGGGAAGGAGTTGGTTGTGACCCTAAGCGAGCCATCCAGACCTTTGAGCAAAAGAGAGCCACACCAGTGCAGAAAATGCAGCCTCCGGTAGCCATTGTCACAGCTGGAGCCCTCACGTATAAATTGTGGCTATAGATCCCCTAGGTCAAAGAACCTGAAGCTGCAGCTGGTGAGACTGTGCTTGCTAGCTGACCCAAGAGTGGATGTCCCAGGCGAAGAGGACTGTCTAGTGGAGCCCCTTGGTTTAGAATCAAACCCCCCATTCTGAGTAATTTGCTTCTAAAATGTATCATGTATCTACTCTGCCCCCATTTCATCCTGTGTTGGGAGATCAATCTCCATTTGCCCTGTTAACTCCATAAGGATCATTATCCTCACCGCATATGTTAAAAAACAGGTTCTGAGCAAAGGCACTGACCCCAAATGACAAGGTTGATGAGTACTGTAGCCAGGATTTGAACCTTTCTCCAGAGCTGGCCCATAGCACCTTATAGATTAGCGTGCGGATCGCACTCCATCCGTGCTTCCCACTGTTTCCCTTGACACATGGTGCTCAGGTTCCATGAGTTCTGTATCCGTGGCTGGTGCATTGTGGGAAAGAAGCAGACGTGTCCCTACTGCAAAGAGAAGGTAGACCTGAAGAGGATGTTCAGCAATCCGTATCCTTTGTCTGGGTCATTGTTGGGAGAGGGCGGTGGAAAGAAACTGCTGGCCAGTGTGACCCTGTGTCTGGGGCCTCTTGGGGCCCTCTCTCTCACTCCCAACATGGAGCACATCTGCCCTTCAGTTTGGCTTGTGTTCTAGGGAAGTTGTAGGTGTGGCATGGTGAGGACTAGCAACTCAACTTTTTGTCATAAATTGATAGGAATAACAGTTACTATTTACTGTTGGCTTACTGTGTGGCAGGTACTGTGTTAAGTACTTCATTTATATTAGCTCATTTGATTCCCTAGCAACTTAGGACCTGGTCAATACTCTTATTTTACAAATTAATGTAGAGGTTGGGAAGCTTATTTAAGATTACTTAAGTAATGAGTGCTGTGTTACCTGTGATTTGCAGCTAGAGATCAGCTCTGCATGAGCAGGGCCTGAAGGCATGGGCATGGGGACTCCCTGTACCCGTCCACCTTCAGTGTAGGACTGTGCTCCTCCGAGCCACCACTTCCTGTCTGTGCTCTCTTCCTCCTCACAACCTGTTAGTGCTCAGCCACTTCTGTGGCCCCAGTGTCACTTTCTGTGAGGACCAGGACCCAGTCCCTTCTTCTTTCCAAGCTGCCCTCTCTCCACAGTTCCTGTCCTCTTTTTTCCTGTGCACTAGCTGGGCTGTACAGGGACACTGTGTCCTAGTACTCTCCCACACTCCTGAACAGGACATTCTGGCTTCTCCTCTTTCACATTTCCTGCTTCATTCTTTTAGGGCCTGGTTCAGGGACAGTTATAATTGTGGCCAAGCTGAGTGAGGGTTGGACTTCCCTTAGCTCCTGGAAAACTGGGCCAGGCTGGTCTTTTTGATACCCTGAAAGGGTTGCTCATAGTTTCAGGGGCTTGTCTCTGAGCTTTCTTCAGAGATGGCATCCCTAGAACCCCCTCAGAATCCCTTGTCCACCCTTTAGCTATAAGGCAAAAGGAAGGGAACCCAAACCTAGGACAGCTTGGCCCCAGTAGGACCTGGTTCTCAGTGCTCTGGATGGTACCTCCTTCAAGCCTTTGCCAGGGGTCACCCCCTTGTTACTGAGTAAGCCTCTTTGTCCCTATTCCCTTTGGGCTCTGACTTTCCACCAAGCCCTCTTTAGACAGAAATGTACCATCTCTGGACAGGAGAACCTCCTGGGTTACCCCATATACTCTGCCTCCTTGCAGCCTTTGTGGTGGGCACATTTGTAGGGAGGGCCTGTAAATCCCAAGCTATGTTTCCTCACACTTGGTTGCCTTTCTTAGAGAAATTGTCCTATAAGGCCTTCTGTATATGCTGCTCAGAGAGCTGTCACCTCTCATGTGCTCCCTTCTGTCACAGCATTGCCTGGTCTTCCTTCCTCCATTCTCTGGGCTCAGCCCTTCACCCCATACAGAGTGCTGCACGGAGGCTGGGTCACTGTCCTTCAAGAGGGCCTGGGAACTCCCTCCTCAGTGCCAGACAAACTCAACAGCTCTTGCACATAGCCTCTGATCCTTAACACGCTGACAGCTGGGAGAGGCCTCACGTCATGTATGGTCAGCTATTGGATTGGCTTCGATACTTGGTAGCCTGGCAGCCTGTCATCATTGGCCTGGTGCAGGGCATCAACTACATCCTGGGCCTGGAATAGTGCGGAAGTTGCCTCAGTGGAGAACCCACCCTGCCCACCATGGACCTCAGGGCGCTCTCCTCACTGCCCACAAAGACCTCCCGGGTGGGAAAGACTCAAAAGGGTGCTTGGGCCACTCAGGACCCCCTGGCTGTGTCAAGCCTGGGGAAGAATATGATGGAGAGCCAGCCAGTGGGGCTGTCAGCAGGGGGTGGGGGAGGCTTTTTAAAAGAAAACTATTTTGATGAATATATTTAAAAAATACTTTTTTTTTTTTTTTTTAAATTGTGGAACCCAAGAGTTGCCCCCTCCAGGCCTCACCCTGCTTGAGCAGGTTGGGAGCAGAGCTATGACATTTTTGGTAAAAGAGCCTTTGCACTTTGGTTGAGAGCACCGGTGGGTTCTCAGGCAGCTGAGGGCATCACCCACTCTGCTTTCTCTCCCTCTGCAGGGCTCAAGCTTGGGCCACTGAGCTTGTAAAAGCTGAAGAGCTCAGATTGGTGGCACGGATGAGCACTGAGGGTGAGGTAGGATGAGTATTGTGTCTGGCTCAGTCTCCCCAGGAGACACTGGCTAGGAGCTTAGGACTGGGTGAAGCATTGGAAGCTTCATTGGTGACTTCTGTGACCAGGGAAGTCCTGGGGCCTCAATGTGTTTGGAACAACTGGAAAAAGCTGCAGCATGGAAAATCTACCTTTGAGTAGGGCTGGGGTCAGTCAGGAGCAGAGGCGGTCTATATATAGTTGGGCTGAGGGGACAACTTTTAGCAGCAATGACAGCCTCTTGTGCAAGCTCATCCCCTTTGGCCTGAAGGTGATGATGTGCCAAAGGCCACTGTACCATATCACTTCCTTCCTGAAAGCCAGAGGGAGAGTATGTTTGTGTACGTGTGCACGTGCATTCGTACATGTACGTGCATAGCAGGACTGTCTGTAACGGATGTCTGTTGCTCCAGTCAGCAGACAGTGACTTCGCCCTTGAGGCTAGCAGGGTCTCCCTGTGTGAATGTCTTCATTCCCGAGCTCTTCCTGCCCTCTCCACAGGAAGGGTAGGTGGGGGAAGGATAAAGGCTAGGTCTCAAGTACAGGTCCTGAAAAGGGACTTCCAGGCAGACCTCAGCCTTGGGCCTGGGAGTTTTGAAGAAAGTGGGAGGGCCATGGGCACTGGCTTGCTAGGGAGTCAGGCCCAACGGGCTACCCGTGAAAGCCAGTGAAAACCAAGCAGAGGCTCGTCACTCATCTGAATAAAGCTCCGTGAGCTGGGTTAGAAAGCTGAACACTATTTGGCTTCTCTTCTTTCCACCTTTCTTTGGGGTGCCCAGGGTGTCTTGGTTGTACTGCCCCAGCCTAAGAACTGGGGCCTGGAGGAGAGTGCCACTGTCTTTCCCTTCTTCCCTCCCAACATTCCTGGGAGTGGTGGAAGGCCAGGGATGAGGGGCTGTGGGGCACCACGGGCTGGTCACCCAACCACAGGTTCCCTGCCGAAGTTTCTTCACGCTCTTGCTCCCTGTGGGCCATCCTCAGAGAGGAGAATCAGGACTGGACAAAGGACTGAGAGATCATCCTTCTCTCACTTGTCTCCCCTTCCCACACGAGGCTTGTGAGAAGCTGAGGCCAGGGCTTTCATACAGTGGTCAGGAGTCCACAACCATGCAGTGGCCACCTCTGGTCTTGGCTGCTTTCTGTGGTGGTCCTAGCTCCTCTCCTCCAAAAAAAAAAACAAAACACTTCTGTGCTTAGTGGAATAAGGCCTGGCAAGTGCAAGGGCCTGAGTTCAATCCCTGGTTCCGCCAAAAAGAAGAAAAAAAAAAGCTTCTTAAGCTTCTTAGCTCCTCTCCTTGCCTCTCCCACCTACCCCTTGGTGGGCTGTGTCTCAGAGACCCCTGCCTTCTGGGCCTAACACCTGGATAGAGGGGCTCCCAGGGAGTCTCCCTGCAACCTAGGAACCTTGGGGCGGGAGGTAAGGGACAAACTAAGAGGACCAGAAGTGTCAACTAGACACCTAGAGAACAGCATGTGACTTTTAGACTCTTGTGTCTAAATTTTTAATGCATCCTTCAAGCCCAGTCCACCTCCTGACCTCCCTGGTTCACACCAACAGGCCTGTCCTCGTGGTAACAAAAATGGCTAACCACACACAGCTCTTGTCCCCTGAGTGAGCCTTGCCTGGTCCTGGCCTCTGTATAGCCCCAGCTGTGTTTCATGGGGACCAGATTAATGCACTTTTGTAACCTCTGAGGAGCTGGAGCCAGTGCGGGACCACTCTTCGAAGAGGCTCCTTCCTACCCTTTAGGGCCAGCTTTCAGCTTCTGTTAAGGTCTCAGCTGAGGGTCCTGCAGCTGGGGTGGCAAGATGCTGCCAGTGGATTTATTTCCTGTGGTGCGGCCCCCAGGGCTGGTTACCACTGCACCGAGCCTGCTGAACAGTAGGGTTCCATAGTGTTTCCTAGGAGGTTGGAAATGGGAATGAAGACCTGCTGGTGGCCTTAGACCCATAGCTCTGGCCAAATGAGGAAAGTGAGCAGGGCTGTGGGTGTGGTGGTAGCTGTTGATGATGTCCTTGGGCTGGGAGCAGGGAACCTGAGGAACTCTGGGATGTCAGTGGGCAGGTGTGGCACTGAGCCACGAATGGTAACAGTGATCCAGCTCTGGGTCCCAGTGCCTAGGAATGTCATCTGCCTGATTGTCAGTATGAATGTGGAAGGAGTTGAGAGAGCCTGCTTACTTGGAAACAAAGACATGACTGACAATTGGAGGGGAACCTCAGTCCTGATCCTTGGCCAAGAGAAAATGGATCTTGGATAGATTGAGCGAGTTTAGGTGCCCGAGGGATGGGGGGTGGGAATATCCCACCCCGTTTGATATTTGGAAATGCAGGACCTAGGAATTAACAGGATGGCTTCTGGCCAGCCGGCCGGCCGGCCATTGCAGCAGCTCAAGATGCACCATCGCCCAGCCGGTGCTCTACATTCCTGGTCAGAGCAAAAGTGAAAGTGAGGCCCAGTGACAAAAGTCTGTAAGTCCAGCTTACTCCAGAGCTGAAGCAGGGGCATTGCAAGATGGATGCTGGGGGTGGGGCGTGGGGGCAGTGAAAGAAAAAGAATAAACGTAGAAGTCATGAAATGGGAAGTGGACAGTACATTCCCAGGATTTTGGTGTATCCCACTCTTCCCAGAATGAGCTGTGATTGTGGAGCGCTTCCTGTGTTGAGTCCCTGCTCCACCTCTGGGCCTGTTTCTACCCCTAATGAAGGGGTCAGTATGGACAAGGCAATCTCTAAACTCAGCCTGTGCTCAAAGTGTCGTCGGGACTTGGTGTGACATGCAGGCAGAATAAACGGAAGTGAGTGTTCAGACCTCTGGGGAGTAGTCCATTTCCCCTTTCACAGGCTGAGAGGAAGTCAAGTCAGATATATAGAGCCAGGCCTGCCAGCTCTTTACACAGCATCATGACCATGGGGCAGAACTGGATACCAGGTGGGACATGGGGCTGTGCATGGGCGGGGTGGTATGGGGTCCAGAGTGGAGTAGTGGGGTGGCTCTGCCTTCACCCCTCTGAGCTCGGCAGTGTGCTGTGCCTATCCTGTTGCTGCTGTATCCCTCTGTGCTCTAGCAGGGAGCGCAGGTACCAGCTGTGCAGGGCCGGGTGCCAGGGACCCTTCTCAGCTTCTCTGTCCTGTGCTCAGAGGGCTAAAGGCTCAGGGCCCTCTGGCTCCTGCCCAGAGCCCAGTAATCTCTGAGCTAGGGTTAGACTCACCTAGGCACTGTCTGCTCAAGACAGGAGCTGAGATACAAGCATTGCCAGGCAGCCCAGTCACCTGCTGACCTCTATGACTGTCCTTTCCTCAGACTCCTCTTGGTGGGTCCTCCTCCTGTGTTCCCACACTGTCACTGTCCTGGCCAGAGCCATGCCTACATCGCAGAACATCACAGCTGCCATTGCCTCAGCCAGGATCTCAAAGGACCCCTGCCCTGCTTCACCCCTGGTGCTCCCTACAGCTGAGCGGTGCCCAGCACTGCAGGTGACCTGGCCAGAGGTGGAAGTGCCGCTGAGTAAGGAGCAATTATGACGGGAGCCCAGGAGGATGGATCAGGGGTGGGTTATGGGCTTGACTCTTGTCATACACCTCCCACCAGCCAGGTGTCAGCCCCTGGGCCAGGTGGCTGAGGTGACTGAGCTCCTCGTAACCCAGTGTTGCGCTCAGGACCCAGCTCCCAAGATGATCCCAATCAGAGGGTCAGCCCTGTGCCATATCCTGTCTGTCCTCTGGCCAGCTTCGGAACATCATGCTGTTCATACTGCCCTTTGTTTGGTCTAGGCTTCTAAAATGAGGTTGAGCACTAAGAAAAAGTTATCTGGAGGACAAGGCTCAAAACCTGGATCATCCCATGAAGCAAGGCCTTTTCCCCAAATCCCGTGCTCAGGCCTCTGCATTCTCCCTTTAACAGACCCCTGCCCAAGTGGAGTGCCTGGCGGTACTGTAGGCTGTGGTGGGCCAGCAGGGGTGCAGGGCAGCAGGGAGGGTCTATCCTAGAGTGGAGCTAACAGCCATGTGTCCCTAGATGGAACGCTGACCTTGTCCTGTACGGCCTGCAGCCACTTCTCTCACTTCAGTGTCCTCTATTGGCTGGGCAATGGCTCCTTCATAGAGCACCTCCCAGGTCGGCTGAGGGAGTGCAACAGCAGGTGAGGGCTGCGGCAGACCAGAGCTGGGGGGAGGCCTCACCCTGACGCTCTCACCACTTTTCCTTCCCTGCTCCAGCCACAAGCGGGAGCGTGGCACACACACCTGGCTGTGGAAGGCCTTGGTGCTGGAGGAGATGAGCCCTGCGCTGCGAAGCACCAACTTCTCCTGTGTATTTGCAGACCCCAGACAGGTTGCCCAGAGTCACATCCTCCTGGCCCAGCTCTGGGTGAGGAAGAGGGGAGGCTTCCAGGGACAAGAGGAGCTCTGCTGCTGTGTGGGGAGGAAAGGGTGGACTCTGCCAGGGCAGCCAGTAAGCTGAGGCCCACCAGTGCCCAAGGCTCCCCAGAAGTGCAAGAAGGAACTGGGCTCTGGCAGGGGAGGCAGCAGCCTACAGACAAGCGACCTGATGTCCCTCTACTCAGCTCTGAACCCTGCCTGCCTTCTTTCCCCAGGATGGGCTGAAGACAAGCCTGCCCTCAACAAGCCCTGCCTCCCAGCCACAGCCCAGGGTCCCTGCTGCCCCCATCAACAGGGCAGAGTCGGCTGGGCCAGCAACAGCATGACCCCGGCCGGCCTGCCTGCCTGCCTGCCTGCCTGCCTGCAAGGGGACGTCTCTAACAGTAGCAGGCTGGGCAGGTGAGCAGCCCCTTTCCATCTGCCTACAAAAAACATTAACTGCCCTTCTTTCTGCCTGTCTTTTTATGATGCCTTCGTGTCACACTGCTATCCTGCTCAGAAACCTCAAGACCTGGCAGCGCCTTAGCCCAGCATGCGTAAATTCTGCCTGTATTCCCAATATGACTTTCCAGAGGCCTGCAAGGATCTTTCTTCCTAGACAGCTCACACCAGCCCTTTTACTCACTTGGTCTGTGCTTCCCCCACCATCCCAACAGCTGAACCCTGAGGGCGAAGAAATGTCCATATTCTGCACTGACAAACAGTATTTTTACCGAATGAACTGTCTCAGAGCAGGGGCAGTGGCTGTTGCTGATCCCCAGGTGTGTATCATTCTCAATAGGGCCTGCAATGAGGCCTCATAAAGGATTCAGTGGAGGCATCTGCTCAGTCATTTAGGCCTCATTCCACTCACAGGAACTGTGTGCATGCCGAGGGAGGATGGTACAGGGATTGCCACTGCAGAGCCAGGAAAATAAAACAATACCAGCCCATTGTTCCCAGGAACTGACCTCGAAAGGGGCTATGGGAAGACCCTGGGGAGAACATGGCATGCCAGGCACAGGATGAGAAAAGCAAGGTGGTGTAGACACTCCCTGGGGACAAAGGCATGAAAGAGCCTACATCTCCTACCTTTTCCTGTGCAGGTCAGGGCAGCTCGACACTCCAGGGAGAAAAATAGACTTTATTTACAAGTAATAACATTTTAGAAAAGATCCATCCCTCGCCCTTAAAAACCTTCCCATTACTCCAAATCCCCAGGGCAGGTCTGGGGAAGGTGGGGTATGAGCTGCTCCTGAAGGCTGCCCATTGCCCCCTGCCCTGGGATCCAGGACTGTCTGCCCTGCCATCCTCTAGGCAGCTGTGCCTTTGGGTGGAAGGGAGGTGGGGCGGGCTCACACCAGGTCAGGCCCAGTCCTGGGCTTCAAGAGCAAGGGCCTCTGCTAAGCCAAGCCACCGGCTGCAAGAACCAGAGCCTGCTCCTCCAGTGGTCCCTTCTAGATCCAGAGACTGAGAGGAAGACTGGCTGGGCCCAAGGATCCAGCCACTCACAGCCAGCCTCAAATCTGGTTATGATGGAGAAGTGACTTAGCTCTGAGATCAGATCAGGAGGCAAGGTAGAAAGACGGTCCCGTACTGTCCAAGCTCCAACCTCCTGGGCCAGCTCTGAGAACGTGCCAGAGAAGGCACCAGTGAAGGTCCAGGTACCAGGCCAGGGGGTGGGTAGGCATCACTGTCTCTAGGGGTTTGGCCACCATTGGGCCTGAGAGCTGAGAAGGCACTGAGAGGGACAGAAGGAAAGGGACCAGGCGACATCAGCATGGAACACAGGCGGAGCCACTCGCTGGTACTGGCCCTTCAGTGCTTTGCCTGCAAGAGACGAGAAATCACACAGCTGTAAAGGCCTTGTTCCAGGGACACCAACTAGTTCAGGAAAGCCCCTCCTGCTGCCACATACCCCTGACAGATCCCTCCATTGTGAGCTCTAGACACATCTAGCTTCAGGTGCCAGTGGATGGCCAGGCCTGAGCATCTGTAGCTGCTCTCTGGGATGAAGTCACCTGTCTCTTCAGTAATTACAAGCTGCTACCCAGACAAGGGAGCACTTCCAGTGGCCCGGCCTGGCCCTGCCTTGGATGCCGCCCGATGGGTGATCAGGGTACCCACGCTTTGACTGGCTTTCCTCTCCCCTCCCTGCCAGGGCCCTACCTTGCCCTTGGCCCGAGGAGTGGCAGTGGTAGCACTGGCTGTGGAGGTGCTGATGCGCGGAGAGCGGCGAGTTCCACTGCGCGTGCTGGGGGAGGCCTTGGCTGGGGCCTTCTTGGCAGCTCCTCGCCGAAGCAAACTGTTCCCCAGCTTCTTGGGCGTGTTGAGGATGCTGAAAGCCATGGACTGGCGCCGATCGGCCTGGAGGGGGAGGAGGGTGTCAATGCTAGGTCTACTGCTCTCTTCCCGGGCCATCCTGCTGCTCTGGGCTCTGCTAGGAAGGCTCCTTCCACCCTTCCACCCAGCCTAACCTGCTTGAGAACGGCTGGAGCTGCCTTCTTCTGGGTCTCAGTAGTGCTCTGTTTGCGCCCTTCGTGTCGGTCCCGGGGTGTTATGGGGCGTGGGAAACAGCTGGTGGCCTTCTTAGACTACAGGGAAGGAGACATCACATCCTTGTCTGAGCTGAGTCAAGCTGCTGCTCTCCCCAGCTCAGCTGAAGGCCCCCTCCCTACAGCTCTGCCCCCTTACAGCCCTTGGAGAAAAACTTCCCCACTTAGATTTGTGAGCTGGCATTGCGGAACGAAACAAAAGATGCCTACAGTCACCCACCTCAGGGGTGCCAGGACCCTGGTGAGTCTCTGAGGACACCCGCTTACGCTGCTGCCGAGTGGTGATTCCAACACCTTCTGCAATCTGGGCTGGCTGCATGCTTGCTCGGCGCAGGGTCTCTCGAGGATCTCCGGTTTTCATCTCCTCATCTGTGATGGTGGCCAGGCCGAGGGAGGGCTGTATGGATGGAAACAGCAGTCAGTAGGCCCCTGCTGTGTGGAGAAGGAGCAGGAACAGCTGCCTCAGACCTCTCCTCATGCCTAGCACCTGGAGCAGCCGAGCCTTCCTACCTTGAGAGGCCTCCCTTCCTGGTCTCTCTACCTACACCCTGAATGATCGGCCAGCAGTCCTGGGCAGACTCCTCTCCAAGCTCCTGGCTCCTACGGCTGCTGGCTATTTCACCTGGAAAGCGTGAGGTCACCCTGCTCAGCAGGCTAGGGAGCCAGGCACTAGTGCTCAGGCTCCATCAGCAGGTGGCACTAAGGTGAAAGCCAGCGGGAGGGAACCAGGGCTCACCCTGGACTCCAGGGGATAGCAGGTCTTCAAGTGCGGGGGGCACACTCGGTTGCGCTGCTGCAGTTCCGCAATCCGGTTCCAGTCGTCCAGCTGCTCGGGCTCGTCCTGGCACGTGCCCATGTAGAAGCTGTTCCTTCCTGGGAGGGCAGGGGTGTTGGAAAGAAGGGGGCTGGAGCTGGCAGGCTGCCCACTGGCCCTAGGATCTTGCCACATTTTGCTGCCAGCACTGCCTTCCTAATCCAGGGCTGTAAGCTTTGTACCAGTCCTGCTCTGATTCAGCACTGTGGGCACAGCAGCGGGGCACACAGACCATTTCTGTCATGAAGGCTCTCACAGCTGCCTCCCGGCAGAGGTCAGAAGAGGTCCCAGCCAAGCAAGGTACATCTTGCTCACCCCCAAGCACTGGTGGTGCCCACGCTAAGAGAATCTTGGTGAGAGCCAGGATGCAAGGGCCCATCCAGCACCCCAACACCAGCTGAGAACTGACAGGGGTTACTGGCCTCTTGGGCCAGGCATCTTGGGCCCCTTACATGAGGATTCCAGGTTCCAAGTAGCTCAGCACAGGCTATAGGGAGGAGGGATGCTGATGCAGAAATCCAGCCAAGGTTTTCAAAAGTTTGCTTCCACTCTGGGCCAGGATCCAGTTCTAGTTAAATTTCTGGGTGTAGTTAAATCTCTACAGTTCCCTCACCTGGTGGAGCCCCACTGGACACCCCAGCTTGGGAGCGGCGGGTAGAGCTGCGAGTAGTGGGCCGGTAGCCGGGCAGGCTGAGCAGAGCTGAGTTTCCATCCTCAGGAGAGCCCAGGCGGGCTAGAGACTGGGTAGAAGAGGTGGCTCGCAGGCTGGCCTGGGAAGCAGGGGCAGACTGCGTGCTATAGAAAGATGAATTGGCGCTATCTGGCTCCTCCATGTCGAGCTTCTGGAAGACATAAGGAATTGTTGCAGGAGTTACAGGGCCCTAAAGTATAAAGCCATCTCCCAGCTCCTACCCCAACTGCTCAGACCCCAGAACATGGGTGTGTGTGTTCCCACAGTGCTGTGCAAAGGTCCTGAGCTCGAGTGTCTCCAAACAGGCCTTCCTGCGAGAAGCCCTCAGAGGGTGTTTCTGAGTGTCAGGACTCTTCTATTTTGTTCAAGTCTATTACCTATACTTTGAGGGAGGAAAGGTAAAGTTGGCTCACTTTATAGGTAACTGAGCCCAAATTACACAGCGAGGAAGCAGCTGAGCTGGAGTGAGAATCCGTGCCTTCTACGCTAAGCGGTTAGGCTGGGCCACGGCCTCCACGTCCCTCAGCCCATGGTTCCTGGGGCTTTAGCCATCTTCCAGCTTTTTGGTTGCAGAGGGGACCCTCCACAAAGAGGTCCTCTATGCTGCAGCAAGGGCGCCTCCCTTTCCTCTCCTCTCAGACACAAAACAAGGGCAAGACCCCTAAGCCTGGCATCAGTCTGCTAGGTAGCTGGGCTCTGACTTCCCTGTTCGGTACCTTCAGCCTGCAAAGAACTAGTGCCAAGCATGGGAGGACGCTAGCCTTGTGGTCAGAAAACAGGCTAATCCTAGCACTGCCTTTCCCATACAAGAGGCCCTAAGCAAGTCACTGCCCTCCGAAATCTTTCCCATCAAGTACCATGTGTGACTGGCTGGTCATCCCTGCCTGTACCTCAGGACCCAACGGTTTTGAGAGGATGTATGTGTACAAGCCCACAGTCCCATTCCCAGCAGCCTGACCTTGGTCATGGTGATGTTGATGATTTGTGTGGTACGCCTGCGAGCGGAGCGCGTCTTACGGCCCGAATCCAGGAAGGCTTCCCCCAGGGAGTCCAAGCTGCTCTCCAGGGGGGCCTGGCCCCGAGCAGGAATGGGGGTGAAATAGAGACTCTCCAAGGATTCTACCTTGGGAGGCAGGCGCTGGGAGATGGGTGAGGCTGGCTCTCCAGGAACACTGGTACCATCTGGCTGGGTCCGAGGCGGCTTGCTGTAGAAAAGGAACTTGCTGAGGTAAGGTCCCTGGGGCTACAAGCACTTGGTCGATCCCTCTGCAGCAAAGGATCATTTCCTACACTTGCTACATGCAGCTGTACTCAAACACCCTACGTCTAACTTTGCAAAGAGCCTTTGACCTGGGCTTTCTGTACCAGTCCCAGCAAAAGGCCAATATTCGATAGCATCTCCCCAAAAAAATAGGTCCCGAACTAAGGTGACCTGTCTGTCCTTCCTGTCTCTCTTGTTTCAGTAAGTAGGCGTCCCCTTGCAAGCTCCCTAAGCCATGAACATGGGTGTGCGCAAGGCCCAGCTCCTCCCAGCCAAGTCCAACCCAATCACCTGCCTCGGGAGCAGCTCTCCTAACCACAGCCCTCTGGGCATCTATGTCCTTCCTCAGGCAGCCTCGTCTCCTCCCACCTAGATTCCCAGTGCAGCAAGGGGTGGCAAGTGAGGGCCTGGGCCCAGTGGCCGAGGCTCCAACTCCAGCTCCATTACTCTATGCCCCAGTTCCAGCTGTTAAAAGAGATTATAACAGACAGAACCTACTTCAGAGGGTTGTTAGAAAACAAGAAGTTATAGTTGCTCTAAGGGCTTAGAACAGTGGCATATAATAAGTGCAAAGTATTTAATAAATACAACATACGGGTTTCCAACCATAACTTTTACAGTGGCTATCAGAAAAACCTCTCTAAAATGCAAATCCAGTCATGGACTGCTCAATTTCAATCCCTCTGAGGCTCCTCAGGACAAGCTGAAACACAGCCTCCAAGTGGCCACCTGAGCAGCCCAGGGCTTGGGTCCACCCTCCTAGTCTCCTGTGCCAGCCCAGCCAGGCTCCTCCGCCCTTGTACACACATGCATATGCCCATGTGGCACACACCCCTATGGATTCTTTTAAGACTCAGCAAGAACAACAGACTACCCAGCCTCTCCTAAGCACTGCCACTGTGCCCTCACACAGAATCTGCCATCACACCTATAAGATTTCTATTCTCTAAACTTCGGGGTGCAAAGGGATTGCCAATGCCTGCAGGACAGCCTGCTGAATAGCAAGTGCTCAGTGAGCAAGTCGGGGTACCAGGAGGGGTGGGGGCCTCCTGACCTGGTGACACTGAGTGGGGTCCCTTCCTCACAGCTCAGATCAAGGCTGTCAGTACTCAAGTCCAGCTGGGGTTTAGCCGGGAGCTCACGGCTCTTTAATGCGTCAGAGGCCACCTGGAATTTTCCCAGCTCTCGAAGCTGCTGGTCTGCATGGGCAACCTGGGAAGGAGCACAAGAAAGTCTAAGGCAAGGGAAGCTCAGAGAGGGGGGCACGGGTCCAACAGAACAGGGCTGAGGCCAATTTTTTCAGTCGGGGACTTACCTGTGCCTCCAGGCTGCGAACCTGGGCAGTGAGGTGGCGGCAGGTCTGCTCGGCCTCCTTGCTCTTCAGCCCAGCCTGCTGCAGCTCCCGGCCCAGCCGTTCCGATTCAGCCCGAAGCTCCTGGTTCTCCTTTTGCAGCTGCTCGAGGCCCCGCAGCTGCTCCTGTAATTCTTGGTTCTGCTGCTTTTTGGCATCATAATGGGTCTTTGCTTTCTCCATCTGTATGGTCAGACAGGGTGGGTGGGTGGGTAGGCGGGGCAAGACCTTAGGGCAGGCAGGGAGAGGGCAGGCCGGCCGGGGCTGGGCCTCTCACCTGTAGCTTGTAGTGCTCAGCTGCCTGCTCCTTCTGGCTCAACTGTGCCTGCAGCTCACTCAGCTGGGCCTGGAGGCGCTGCACTTCCTGCTGGCTCTCACCCCCCTGAGCCTGGAAAGCCTGCGCAGGTCAAGGAAGGAGGCCTGAGCAGCTGCTCCGCCCCAAGCACTGACCTGTGCTAGCCATGTGGCTCCCACAGGTGCCTCAGCCTCCTTCATATTCTCCTAGGGTGCTCAGGGTCCTGCTCTCCCCAAAGTCTTACTCTCAGCCACAGTCCCCTGGAACAGCACAGCCTCCATGGCTTTCTGCAGAAGTTCTCCTGACCTGCTCATGCCATCTGCTGGCTCTGACCAAGACGACAGCCCTGTTTATGAAACTGGCTCCAGGCTCTCATACTCTCTCTGTGCACACACTCTTCCCAAGGAGGAAGAGAAGCTGACCCTCAGAGGACACACAGACACAGATTACGGTGCCAGGCACTTGGCATGTGAACTCTGTGACCAGGAACTTGTCTCTCCTCTCACTACTCTGTGAAGTAATTTTATCCTCATTCCAGAGATGAAGAAAAACTTGAGTTGAGAGCTTTAAGCAAACTGACCAAGGTCACAATGACTGGCACAGTAAGCCTCGAACTTGGCCCACCTAGCTCAGAACTGGGGAGGGTTCACTTACGATACCAGCAAGCCACCTACCAAACCCTAACACCTCAAAAGTAGCCTGCACCCCTCTGTTGCTCCCCACCCAATGGCAGCAATGGCTTGCAATGGGTAGGAGCATCCCAGCATCCCACCCTTGTCTCTCCCGCAGCTCCCAGCTCCGGGCAAGCTCCCAGAAGGAGCATAAGAAACATGTCTATTATGGATCCAGACCTGGTGTAGAGCATACAGAAAGAAACAAAAGAATTTAAGCTGTGAGCTCCTGCCAACACCTGCAGCGCCCCAAAGCATCAGTGAATCCCAAAGTCACTGGGGCCCAATTCCTTTGCCTGACTAAAGGCAGCAAAAACATTAAAGCAAACAAAGTGACAATTTAAAGCAGTAAAAATCTTAATGCATCACAATCACTGTTGCGACTGACCTTCACCCTTGTGCCCAGACCACTTGGGTAGGAGCTAGTCTGCAGAAATTTCTAAGATGCTGGAACATTTACACGGGAGGAAAATGTGGCTAGTGCAACAACTGAACTTTATAATTTAAATTTAAAGAATCCCAGGTGGCTAGCAGCTGCAATGGATAACAGAGGCCTAGAGAAGCAGAAACCCGGTCTTCCCCAAGAGATCCCAAAATGCAGGCACCCAGGCTGCACCCCCCCCCACCCCACTGCTGCCCACAGCCAGCGGCTCAGGGAGCACTTCCTCCCCCATTCTCACAGAGGCAGCTCGAGACCAGGACCATCATCCAAGTTGTCGCACCTTGAGCTTTTGCTGCTGCACCTTGCTGGCTTGGTCACAGTCAGCCAGCTTCTTACTCAGCTCTTCCACCTAGGGAGAGGAGACAAGACAGACTCAGGGGACTTTTCCCAAGAAGTCAGGTCAAAGCAGACAGTTCTCCCAGACCAGTCACCCCAGTATTCCTTGAAGAAACTCAGCCCTTTCTCCAGCCTCTAGTTAGGGAATGGCCTGCTGTAGGATGCAGGGCCACAGAGAGGTGGCCACACACAAATGCTGCCAAGGCACCTGCCTGGACCTGCTCCACCCTCAGCTTGGAGACACCAGAATCAGGTGAGCTGAGTGAGAGGCTGCCACTTTACACTACCCTGCTGTAGCCACTGCTCCCTGGCCCCAACCTTCCCAGATGACAGCAGGAACAGAGGACCTAGACCGGTGCTCTAGCAGACCTATTCAGTGGACATCCATGCCTTCCTCCTCCCAGAAACAGCCAAAGCAAAAGCCCAACACCCAGACTTCTTCTCATGGGAATTAGGCTGAGGTTAGCAGTGTGGCCGCTGTGGTTAGCATTGTAGGGACAGACTGCTGGAAGACAAGAGCAGGGGCAGCACAAGTGTTACACACCCCCTCCCCAGTTCCATGAAAAGGAAAGGCAAAAGAGGAAGAGGCGAGAGGGAGAGTAATAGCCACAATAACCCCTGGCTCTTCTGGGCTCAGGCAGGACCAGGCAGCAGAGAGAGAAGCACGGGCTCCATTGCTAACTGTTTGCTTTGTAACTTGACTGTCCCCATCAGCTTTGGCTTCTCAGAATAGGTGACAGGAAGAATGGAGGAAGCAATTCTTCCACAGGTGCTTGGGAAGAAAGGTGCTGGAGGGGCTCTTACTAAATACTAGCTCTGTAGCCACCACGTCTCAGGAGCAAAGCGAGAGCCTTGAGGAAGGCAGCCAGACCACGGGACCCCTTCTGCACTCAACCCTGGTGTCTGCTCCAGGAACTGCCACACAGTGCTCTAGATCAAGGCCTTGGAAGATGCTGGGCAGGTGTCCTGAGCCATCACCTTCCTCACCCAAGGGTTGCCTTTCATGTTATTACCTTTATGGCTTCAATAAATCCATACTCTGTGGGAAAAAGGGTGCTACGATAAACCAGGCTCATAAGGATCTCTGCTACTCCTCCTCTTAGTTGTATATCCCATAAATAGAAACAGGATTTAGGAGGTTTTGTCTGTCACTTGCTATCCTTGGTCCCTGACAGGCAGGCAAGAGAAAGTTGCAGACAAAAAAAAAGAAAGAAAGTGCAGAAGGATGGAGAAGCCGACCTGGGATAGCTGGGACGAGGCCCAAGAGAGGCCCAGGACACCAAACTCCTGGGCAGCCCGGGTTCCATGGCTTGACCCTGCCCCCTTCACAAACAGTTCACAACAGGAGCTGGCGGAGGCAAGCTGCAGCCGGGGTCATGCACGGACACTGGTCACCGCTTAAGCAGCCAGCATTTATCAAGCACCCCAGGCATTACCTGCTTAGTCTGTTCTCTCTGAAATACCTCTAGCTGTTCCACCTGTGCGTGGGGGAGGAGCAATGCAGAGAGTGAGATGGGGGCGGGCGGCAGTGTGCTGCCAGGCTGGCTGGACTGACACCTTCCCCAGGGACCATGAGAGCCCAGCTTCAAGTGCCACGTTTGCTGCTGCCAGTCTCCAGCAGCTGTGTGCTCTCTGGTGCGGGTGTGCCTCTGGACTGGGCTGGCAGTTGTCACAACATGACTCTCTGGGGACAGCCTCCAGGAAAGGGGAGGCCACTGATAATTTCTTTAGGATAAGAGGGGCAATGGACTTGAACACCAGCCAACTCTGCTATAGGCACCCAGGGACAAGGGAAAGTATGACACATCACAGTGTGGAAGGAGTCTCCGCCTCCTCGGAGCACCATCCCCACCGTCTCAGGTCTGGGTCTCTGGGGTGTAGCTGAGCTGGGCACCTTACCTGGGCAGTGAGCTTCTGCCTCTCTTCCTGGAAGCGCTGCCTTTCCTCCAAGACCTTCACCTTGGCACCCTCATACTTGGCAGTCATCACCTCCAGCTCCCGGGTGGTGCTCTGTGTTTCCTGCTGCATCTCAGCCAGACGGGTCTCAGCATCAGCACGCACAGCTGCCAGCTCTTGGATGTACTTCTCCCGGGCCTGGTCCAGCTCCACCTCCAGAAACTGCCGGCCGAGGCTAGCACGCTCTCCGAGCCCCCGGTTCTCCTCTGCCAGCAGGCCATGAGCCTTCTTCAGCATGCTCAGCTGCTCTGCATAGCTGGCCTTCTCTGCCCGCAGCTGCTGGGCTGCTCGTTCCTGCTCTGCCACCTTCTGCCGCAGGGGCAGCAGCTCTGCAAGCTCCCGCTGGGCGCGCATCAGCTCTGCCCGTAGCCCACCAGCTGCCTGCTTGCTCTGCTCCAGCTCCTCTCTGTGGCGCTTGTCGGCAGCTGCCTGCTCAGCCTGCAGTTGCTGGCAGAGGTGCTTGGCAGGCAGCAGCTCACTGACCAGGGCCTGTGTGCTGGTGTGCTCCAGCTGCAGCGCAGAGAGGGCCTGTTCCTTCTGGAAGAACTTCTCCTGCCACGCCTTCAATTCTTGGCCCAGCTCCTCAGCTCGTTCTGCCTGCGAGGCCAGCTCCTGCCGCAGGCTCTCTGAAGCCGAGCGTTGTTTCTCTACTTCCTCCCGAAGGCTCTGCACCTCCTCACGCAGAGCGGAGCTGCGTTCCGCAGCTCTGGCGCTGTTGCTGGCCGTCTCAGTCTGGAGCAGACGTAGCCTCTCCTCCAGCTTCTGGCTCTTCTCTGACTCGGCTACAACCAGCCGCTTCAACTCCTTGCTCTCCCCTTCCTTCTCCAAGACCTGGCGGTTCAGGATGGACACTTCCTCCTCTAAGCTGCTAATGAGGCTGCTTTTTCTCTCAGCCTCCTGCTGGCCCCGGGCCACCTGGGCTTTCCACTCCTCCTCAGCCTTGCTGTGGTCTTGGGCCTTGGCTCGCAGAGTGGCCAACTCCCTCTGGGCTGAGACTGAGGCAGCCTGACTATGCCCCAGCTCCCGCACCCGCTCCTCTAACTGACGATGCAGAGTCTCTAAAATCCTGTCCTGCTCCAAGCGGGAGGCGCGCTCTGACTCCAGACTGCGAGCCAGGATGTCGGCCTCCTCCTGCCACTGCTGGCACTGCTGCTCCAGCTTGCTCAACTCCGCCTGCAGCAGCTCCTGGTCCGGGCCTGGCGCCTCCTTTCCAGGAGCCTCAGACTGGGTCCCCACATCTGAAGTATTCTGTCCCCCAGCCAACCCCGCTGACTGTTGGTGCTCCTTTTCCTGCTTAGCCAGCTGAGCCTTTAGCTGCTCCGCAGTCTGCTGAAGCTCCCTCAGCTCTGATCTTTGGACTGCCTCCTGCTCACGGACCTTGCTCAGCTCCTGCTCTTTGTCTTCTTTTTCTGTTAGGGCTCGAGACAGTGTCTCTCGAAGAGTAGAAACCTCTACTCGCTGCTCGTTGAGGGCGTTCTGCAGCCTGGTCTCAAGCTCTGTTCTAGCTGCCTTCTCTAGGGCAAGGTCAGCTTGGGCCTGGCCCCGCTCCTGGGTCAGTCGTGCCACCTCCCTCTCCTGCTGCCCTCGCTCTTTCTGCTGCTGGCCCTGGCTCTCCATCAGTGCTGCCCGCAGCTTCTCCAACTCAGTGCCCATTTGCTCTGCCTCCCGTTCCATGGCCCGAAGTGCTGCCTGTGTGCTGTAGGACTGCTGTGCCAGATGCTCTTGCAACCTTGCAGACTCTCTGTCTCTGGCCCTCAGGGGCTCCTCAGGAAGTTCATGCGAGACTGTCTCCTGCTGCTCGCCTTTGCGCACCAGGACCTCTAGATGGGCCACTTCCTTGCTGGTGGCAGCCATCTTCTCCTGCAGAGAGGAGAGGTCATCTGCCAATTTCTGGGCCCTGTCCTCTTTCTCCTGGACCCGCTGAATAGCTCTATCGAGGCTTGCGTGGAGCTGGGCGAGCTCACTCTGCTGCTGGCCTATCTGGAGCTCACTGTGGGCTTCTATCCCTGCCATTTTCTCCTTTGTGTCCTGCAGCTCCTGGCAAGTCTTCTCATACTCTTCCTTTAGCGTCATCAGTTGTTCCTGCAGGCCAATCTGATTCACCCCTTGCTGGCCATCTTCAAATTGCCTTCGCCAGGTTTTAACCTCCTTGACAAGCAGATCAACCTCCTTTTCAGCAAGGTTCTTGGAAGTTTTGGCCTTTGCCAGCTCTTGCTTCAGGGCTTTAGCCTCAGCCTGATGGGTTTCCCTAAGCTGCTGTAACTGGACACCTAGGCCCCTGCGTTTAGCCTTCTCTTCTTCTAGCTCCTTCTGTTCCTGCTTATACTGTTCTGCAAGGCTTTCAAACTCTGCCTTTATTTCAGAGATACAACACTGCTGCTCTTCCAGGGCAGCTGCAACTCTGCATTTCTCCTCTTCGAGGCTGCCCTTGGTGATCCTCAAGGATTGCTCCAGGGTCCAGAGCTGCTCCTGGAGCTGGGCCTTCTCCTGGGCTACACTTTCTCTCTCAGTTGCTTTCTGCTGTTCAGCCTTCAGCTGGGCCTCTAATGCTGCCACCTGGGCCTGAGCTTCCTGCTGCACCTGATGGGCTGCCTCGACACTGGCGCGGAGCTCCTCCACTTTTTGGCTCAGCTCTGCTTTCTCCCTCTGGGCTTGGGTCACTGAGTTCTGGGCACTGTCTTGGGCTTCATTAGCAGCCTGAAGCTGCTGCTGCAGAACCTCCAGCTTGGCAGCCTTCTCCTTCCATGTTTCCAGCTGCTGGCAAGCTGCATCCCGCTCCCGTAGGGAGGCCTCTCTTGCCTTGGCAGCAGTGGCCAGTTGTTGGGCGTGGTCCTGCCTGCTGTCCTGCAGCTCCCTGGCTGCCTCTTCCAGCTGCTGCTCCTTCTGCTTCAGGCTGTCCCTCAGCTGCTCCAGCTGGTGGCGAAGGCCTTGGGAGGTCTGTTCTTGCTTCTGTAGGGTCTGTACGAGCTGGGCCTGCTCCTTCTGGGCCTGCTGCTTCAGGCCAGTTAGCTCCTGATCCTGCTGCTGGAGCGTGCCATTGAGTGTGGCGAGTTCCGCAGTCAGAGAGGCCACCTGGGCACTCAGCTTGGCACCCTGGGCCTGAGAAGCCTGCTCCAGCTCCTCCTTGGCCTGGTTCAGGCTGGAGATGGAGCTCTGCAGCTCAGAGATCGCACTGGCCAGCTGCTGCTTTTCTTCTTCAAAGCGGCTCCGCTCAGCCAGCAGCTGGGCTTCCTTCTGAACCTGCTTACTCTCTAATGTTTCCACTCTGGCTTGGAGCTGGGTGTTACTTGTAGCAAGAGTGGCTGCCTCTTGCTTCAGGGTTTCCAGCTGGTGGAACAGGGACAAAAGAGAGACAAACAGGGATCTAAGTGATTCCCTCAGTTACATCCTCTGGGAACCAAGCAGGGACAGGAATCACCCCAGGCACATAGGTCTTCTGGCTGCTCCTGTGTATTCCTACCTGCAAGACATCACCCAGCACCTCACCCCGGGGTGGGGTCTCTGGCACTTGGGCCAAACGTTCTTCCAGCTGAGAAAGTTTTCCCTGAAGAATTTCATTCTTCTCTTCAAGGCATTTCTGGGAGAAAACCAGAGAAAGACCCATGTAAAGGGGTGGAACAGGTAACAGAGTACCACACAGGCCTCACAAACACGAACAAAATATAAAAACATGGTGCTGTTAACAAGATCTGTCTTTGCTCTGGCCTAAGGGGAAGTAAAAATCTCAGAAATTATGGACCTGGCCCTATAAGGGACCTGACTTTCTAGTCCTTGCATCAAATTAAATCACACTATGAGCTGCTTCCTACTTCCTCCAAGGCTACAGAACTTAGTTCCAATTTCCTTACCATACATCTTTTCTCACATAAGCTGAGATTATATAAACAACCACCAGTTTAAAAACAGGCCCTGGACTTGCCAGTTAGCTCAGCTGTTTAAAGCATCGCTTGGGCAAAGGCAGTCAGTTGCAGGGGACCACGATTCCATCCCCAGCTCCAAAAGCCACATTACACCCGCCCTTAAGGAAGCCTGAGATAGCGCCCTCCCCCCAAAAAATCCTCTAATTCGGGCCAAGGAGATAGCTCAGTGGAGTAAGTACTTGCCTGACAAGCACAAGGTCCTGAGTTCCACCCCTGGTACCACCAAAAAAAAAAGCCCCTGGAAGGGCCAGCCAGATAGCTCAGCACATTAAAGTTCCTGCTCAGGCAGAGTGCAGGGGTCACATGCCGAGCTAGCCCCTTCCCCAGGGCATGCTGAGATGCCAACTGAGACTGGGCGTGGTACACATGCCTGTAACTCCAGCACTTGGGAGCCTGAAAACATGGAATCACTAGTAGTTCGATCTGTGTAGTGAGACCCTGTAGACCCTGTCCTAAGTACAGAAAATAAATTTAAAAAAAAAAAAAAAAAGCCCCTGGAAGGGGCGGGGAGATAGCTCAGTAGAATAAGCGCTTCCCTGGCAAGCGCAAGGGCCTGAGTTCAATCCCCGGTTCCGCCAAAAAAAAAAAAAACACCAAACCAGCCCTTGGAGCTGGGCCTGGTAGCTCACATCAGTAATCCCAGCACTTGGGAGGCTAAGGCAGGATGCTCACTGCAAGTTCAAAGCCAGCTAGGGTTACACAGCGAGATCCCGCCTAAAAAAAAAAAAAAAAAAAAAAAAAAAAAGCCCCAAGCCCCATGCCTACTTCCCCCATCATTTCTGATTAGGAACAAGGCACTAAACTCAGTGTGGCTCTGAATTTCTAACCCACCTACAGGTCTGGGAGGGCACTAGTACTGTTTTATTTACTCATCAAGAAACTGGCACTCAGATGCTTAGTGCCTTGTTAAAGTGCTCCATGGTCTACAAGTGGCAGTTGGGTTCTTATAAACAGCAACAAGTCTGGCACCCCTAATTGGGAAATCTTAAATTCCAAATGCTCCACAATCCCAAACCTTCTGAGCTCCAACAAGATATTCAAGAAGTTCTGGATTTTGGGGTATTCAGATTTTGAATACTCACAAAGTCTATGCAGATACCCTTAAACTGGAAAACTCAACTCACACATTCTGGTTTCAACCAACCTGCAGCTGACTTGAGAGCTGCCTCCCCTCAGTGTGTCCAGCATTCATCTGCTGTCCTCCAGCCTGACCCCAACCCCCCAGCAGAGTTACCTTGTCCTGCATGGCTGTGCTGAGCCCTTTCTCCAGATGGGCCTGCTTCTCCAGCCACTCCTGAGTAGCCTTGCTGTGCTCCTCGTTCAGTTCGTTGAGGGCTCCCTGAAGCTGCTGCAGGTTACTGGCAAACTCCCGCAACTGAGGCATGAGAGGGACTTTTGGTCACCCAGGGTTCAAGTGGCATGGCCAGTGCCACCTGCTTTTTACTGCCCTGGGACTGGTACCTCCACCTCCTCCCATCAATTACAATGAACCACACTGTTAATTCAGGACCACACATCTACTTTTAGGGGTATATCCCAGTCCCCCAGCTGCAGTCAATTATGGGATGAGGAAAACTAGCTCTGTATTTAGGTTTCTGGAGAAAAACTCAAGCCTGAGCCAAGCTCCAAAAGTCTTCTTAACCTTCTTGGGGAGCCTTACAGACCACCTCAGCCCTGAGGGTCTCCATGCATGGCCCAGTCCCTCACCTTAAAAGACAGGTCCCCGTTCTCCTCAGAAAGCTGGTTAATCTTGCGGTCCATCTGGCCCTTCTCTGTCTTCAGGTCCTGGCACTGCTTCAGAGTCTCATGCAGCCGTAAGGTGAGGCTGCCAGAAGGGAACAGTGAGGAAGGTAGGCCCTGACTGGGGCCAGGGAGGCTGGGAGCTGGAAAGAAGGCAGGGAGAGCTCTACCTCTCATTCTTGCCTCGCAGCTCCTCAAGCTCCCTGGGCTCCAGAGGGCTGGCTGCCTGCTTCTCGTTCAGCAGAGCAAGGCGGTCGATGCGCTGTTGCATCATGGATATCTGTGCATCTGACCCAGAGTGGGGAGGAGAAGAGAGGCGGTCAGCACAGAACTGCAGGAGCAGGTACAGAGAGGAGGGGACATAGGGCTTTGGGAAAGGGCACTTCCAAGAAGCCAGCCTGACCCTCAGCTCCAGGGCCAGTAGGGAGGAAGTGGGGGAGGGCAAACCGTCGCCCACAGCTTCCCTAGACGTAAACCCCAAACGCTGCCTCCCAGCCACAGCAGCCAGGTGCTCACCCTTCTCAGTGAGGCGCTTGCGGAGCTCAGCCAGCTCCAGCTCCAGCTCATCTCTATTGCTTCTCTCATCTGCAAGCTGCTTCTTCAGGCGCCTCATCTGGAACTGTGGAGTCTGCAGGATGTCACCCATGGGAGAGGCTGGAGAACCTGACAGGAAGCTGAGAAAGGAGATGGCCAGAAGCCAGGATAAGAGCCTGAGATTGGATGTAACTAGCACTAACCAAGGGTGGGGAGCAGGGGCTGATGGTCATTAGCACTGCCCGGGAGGCCCAGGTACCTGGGTTCTGTCTGCAGTGCTATCTCGTGCCTCATGACAGGACCTGGAGAAAACTCCTTCTCCCTTCTCCATGCCTTAATTTCTTTGCTGGGCGTGGAGGGGGGAGGAACATATTCTCCTTGCCTCTGCAGAGCAGCACTGAAGGAAGGACTGCCTTAAACAGGGTACTGCCTTTGAAGGAGGTCTGCCCACAACAGATCCCAACCAGTTTTCCCAATGAGTACTGGGGCAGATGAGAAAACCCCAGATGGACAGCATCCTCCAAACACCCCAAAGATGTGAGGCTGAACCTCCAGAATGCAAGGAATTGGGATGTGATTGGATGCTGAGGTCCCTCCCAGGGAAGGCCCAGGACATACTTGTTCCCACTGGAAGAGGCAACCTTCTGTAGCTCTAGGAAGCGAACCTCCCTCTTGGTCTGGTGGCTGGGTGGGGACAGATCTTCAGAGAAGGTACTGGAACAGGTGGAAGGGACAGCAACTAGAGATAAGGAGCAGACAAATCAAAATATGTCAGTAAGGGGGTGAAGAATTTAAGCACTGTCATGGCAGGTGAAAACTTGCCTCCATAGGTGTGACTCTTGGGAGTTTTTGTTTTATGGGACAGGTTCTCACTATGTAGTTCAGGCTGGCCTTGGACTTGCGGCAATCCTCCTGCCTCAGTCAGTCAAATGCTAGGATTACAGGCATGTGCTACCACACTTGCCTGATCTTTGGACACTTTGTATGTAAACTTCAGAGGAAGGCATTGGGCAGAACCTGAAACCCAGTGTCTGGATATCCTGAGGTCAGGGCCCCTAACCACAATCAAGCATGGGGCTTCCGTAGTCCAGGACGTCAGTACTCAGAAAGAGCAGATAGACAGCATCTCATCTATGCTCTGAAACTGGACTGGGTACTATGCTTTTCCTTCCAGTCTGCTGCAGAGGCAGCTGGGAGCCCTGCATGGCATTTCCCTGCAGTTCTCAAAAGCCTCTTGTGTCAGATTTACTGGCCTCTATGCAGAGCTCTCTGTCTGAACCTTTCACAACCTGTGCGCTCTCAAAGATCTCATCCCCTTGTTCCTATGGTCACTTCTGTGGGATGCTCCTACCTCTCATCAATAAACTCCCTTCTGCGCCTACCCTCTGCCCCCTCAAGGTCTGTGGGGCCTCCTTGCTCTACTCATGATGTAAGTGGTCACCGACAGGATGAGCCACAAGCCTGTGTCTGGCCCAGAGCCCTCTCCAGCACTCTGGACTCACATCCCCAGCTGAAGGTCTTGTAAATCTGAATTCGACAGCTGGCAACAAATTTGCCTCGCTCTCCCCAGATTCCTCTCACACCACCTGAGCACCTGCTCACTCATCCGCTGTGCTGCCAGCCAGATGCTCTGCAGGCCCTGCCCTCGGATGCTTGATCATATTTACTGGTGTATGTGTTTGCTTTCCACTGAGAACATGCACTTCATGAAGTGAAAAGCTTTTCTAAAGACAGTCTTCCTAGATTTTAAGCCTAGTGATTAATTTAACATTTCAAAATAGACTTTGATATGGTGGTCCTCACCTGTAATCTCAGCACTCTGGGAGATAGACAGGAGTATCACAAGTCTAAGCCTAGCTTAGGCAACTTAGTGTAACCCTCTCCCAAAATGAGAGGGGGTGGGGCAGAGCTGGGAATGTAGATCAGTCTGACAGCCCTGGGTTCAGAGTCCTTTGTACCACAAGGGGAAGAAGAAAGGGGCGCGTCTGTGAGAGAGGAAGCTCAGCCTCACAGTGGACTTGATCACTGACCCTTTGCTGAACTACCAGGCAGCACGGGGGACTCTGGGGATGGAGATGATGCTGACACAGCCCAAAAGTCAATCAACCCCTCCACTGCACCCTTCCTGAGTGCCAACTGCGTGCCTCATGACAGGGACAAGCCCCAACATACATACACTCATTCTCACATACACCTCTAGGACAAGGACTCCCGTAGTCCCTGCCCAGATGAGGGGATCCCAGGAGGGTTTCTACTACTCACCTTTCTTCAAGAAGACCTCTAGATCCTCAGTAAGATGCAGCCCATCCTCATGGTCCAGCATAAACTTAAGGATGACTGCTAACTCTGCCTGCACCATGGAGAGAACGGGAGCACCACTGTGCTGTCAGAGGGGCCTCTGAAGTGAGGGCTGAAGAGCTTTTCCAGACAGTGCCCACCCCAGGTTCTCCTGAGCCCCATGACCCACTGACTCCCATTCTTCTTCTCAAAGCCAAGTTCAGAGCCCAACCCACAGCACTCAGTAGTGCACATAGTCCTTTCCCTCTGCCTCCCCTCAGGGTGCACTCAAGTGTTAGACCAAGCCCCTAACATACTTCACTTCCTGACTTCAGGGATGGGACACAGACAAAGCTTTTATACCTAACCATGGTGGCCTTGTTCAGATGACCTGACTGGAGGAAAGAGTAAGATAAATGAAGTAAAGGGGAAATACACAGACAGAGACACACAGACATGGATAAATACATAGGGACAGAATAATTTCTATGTGTCATCTAGAAACACCAGGCAAATAATTAAATATGTGTGCATAAGAAAGGTCTTGGTGGGCTGGAGAGACAGCTCAGTAGAATAAGCACTTTCCTGGCAAGCACAAGGGCCTGAGTTCAATCCCCGGTTCCACCAAAAACCAAGAAAAAGTCTTAGAAATCTACCCTTTAAGCTGAGCAGTTATCTCTGAGAATGTTACTGGCAAGAGTTATTTCCTTCTTTGTGCTTCTCAATATTTTCTGGGTATTTTCTATAACAGATGACTGTCATTACTATAACCATAGCTTCTCAAGGAATATGTACTATTTAAAGAAAAAGAAAAGGAGTGAGGCACACCCAGGCTGTGTCCAGGAGCAGGGTGGAGCTTACCTGAATCCTATATTCAAACTGTTCCCAGTCCCGGAGGTTTTGGGAGCTCATGGAGGAGTGGTACAAGAGCAGCATGATTATCTAGACACCAAATAGGAAGCAGCCACTCAGTAGGGCGTCTCTTTCCAATGTTTCCACTCTTGGGAACTTGGAGCTATTCTAAAAGCTCTTCCAAAACTCCTAGAATTAGCAGTCCCAGGCCACCATCCATAACAGCCCCAGGACATACTTTGTTGCATTTTACTGAGGACTCAATGCACACTGTAAAAAAGCAAGTTGCCGAAATGCCTGTATGGTTAAATCCCTAAAGTATAAAGCTTTAGGTACCCTATATAGTAAGGTCAGCACCCCAGAGGCAAGGGGAGAAAAGCAGACAGAGCTTATCCCCCCGCAACAAATGCACCACACGATGAGCCCTGATTCCTGCCAGGTCTTCACTGCAGCTCATGGTGCTGATCTAGGAAACTTTTTCTTTTTTCAATTTGTAGAAATAGCCCTTTATTTTTTATTTTATTTAATTATTTTGGTACTGGGGATCAAACCAGGACCTTGTGCTTGCCAGGCAGGTGCTTATGCCTCTGAGCTATATCCCAGCCCTAGGAAACTTCTTTGTTAGAAGATCATGGTCCCCTAGGATTCCCAGGCTCTGGCTCAGGGGAGGACTGCCTGATCCTGCTCTAAATTTTAAGAGTTCCAGAAATAAGGCACCCACCATGCTCCCTTGGGTTAACCCAGCCCCCAAATTTGGTATTCCACAGGTACCTTGGCCAGTTCCAGCTCTGATCCCTCCATCACCTTTTGTACAGACACAAGGCATTCTGCAGAAGAGGGACGTTTTCGATTTTCTGCAATGACAATGTAGAAAATAGGGTGAAGTCCCCGGGACTCCTATTTGAGACCATCAGAACATGGGAGTCTGAGAAGCAGATCTCCAGTCTAAGAGGACGGGAGGACAGTGTTCCTTATTCCTGTATCTTCTCCCAGCCACTTCAGCTCTGGGTCAGACCCCTATCATCTGTCCAATCACCAATTCCCACTCAGCACTAGTAAAAGAATCCAGGGGTCACTCCAGACCAGTGATGGCAAATCTTTCAGAGACTAAAGTCCAAACTGGAACCCAAACTCACTTTTTTTTGTTTGTTTGTTTTGGTTTATTTTGAAAAGTGCCAACACTCCAGTTAAACCTGAATACTGAGTTTTTAGTTTAGTAAAAACAAGTTATACATTAACAACTTTTGTCTTAGAAGAAAAACAAGGAACTGGGCATTGTAGTACATGCCTGTAATCCCAGCACTCGGGATTGAAACAGGAGGGTCACTGTGAGTGGGCTACAAAAGTGAGCATAAGGCCAGCCCGAAATGCATTATCGAGACACTGTCTCAAAATAAATAAAATGAAATGAAAAACAGCACACGCCATAAGTTTGCCACCACTGCTCTAGAATCCTATGCCAACTAAGGGTGCAGACATCAATAGCCAAGTCAAAGTGGAGTGAATGGGGATCCCTGGATCTAATGTTGCCAGAGGTGAGGCTCAATTACTACCTGTTCTATCTAACTGGATTCTCACCTTCCCTATATTCTGTTGAGATGGAGATGGCAGACAGCTTCCTGTGTCAAGTATGGTCATGCTGGACCAGGCAAGAGGAACTGACAAGCACTGTGCTAGCAGCTTCCAATGTATTATTTAATCCTCCATCAACCTGAAGAGCAATTTTCTTTATCTCCAAAGTACACACAGGGGAGCCTTTGTGTAGAAAGGGACGGCAGTGAGTGGAGTCAGCATCTCACCAAAACTGTCCGTGCTCCTATGCCAATGACCTAAGCAATTATCTGGGGGCACTTTTTCTTGGAAGGGAGGTAGGGTAGCATGGATCTTTCTCTCTCTGGCTCCTCAAAGCGAGGGGAACAGAAAGCTAGGGAGAGGGGCACCAAGTAGCAACCCCTCTGCTCTACATGGATCTGAGGGGAGTTCGAGCACTGAAGGGACACAACACTTACACCAGCTGGTGTAAAACCTGGAAGCTGACCCAGCTGTCTGCGTTTCTGTGCCAGAGTAGGCAGCTCTGAACCTTTCTCCCAACGTCCAGGTGCTAGTTAAGAAAAGTGCTTACTGTGCAGGAAACCACACACAAAGTCCAATCTCTCTGGCACTGGCTGCTGCAAGACTTGCTGCCCCTCTTCTGTGCTGTGGCTAGAAAAGGAACAGGTATTAGGACAGAGTATGCAGTGTGCTCTGCCTCCTTGATGGTATGTTATTTCCTTTCTCTTTAGCACTCAGTTTACAGAAAGCCAGGAGAGAACTGGGAGATAACATGCCAGCCAACAACATGTTCAGCTGGAACTGTGGTGGAGACACAAGACAGAGTCCTTCTGGAGAAGATGGCACCTGACCAGCCTGTTTGCAAATACAAAAAGTCTCTGGTAAAAGGGGGGCAAGAGGGGACAGGTGGTGCAGATGAATGGGAAGCTAGATTAAATACCCTGAAAGTCAGCTTGAAAGTCAGGAAGCCTGAAAAACATGGCTAGGGCAGAGAAGCCATGGAACGAGACAATAGGACCAAAACCTGAAAGAACGGGAGGGACCAAGGTTCTGAAGTGAAAGGATTCGCACCCTAGGCTGGAGACAGACTGCTAAAAGCTCCTCCAGGCGAAGCCAAGGAGCACTCATTCTTGATTGGTAGCCTCGTCTTACGTAACTGGAAAGAGAGACAGCAGGGGGCGCACTCACACAGCCAGAGCCCACCCCAGGGCGCTCCAGCTACACTTCATTTTTAGAGGCGACTATTGCTGCATCGCGAGAGTATGTGAAATTACACTTCAAGTTAGAAAACAGGCTTCTCTAGTACAGCTGCAGCTGGAGATAATGACTAAAGACACCTCAGCTTCTCATAACCTGAGCCCTTAGGTCTGAAGGACCTTTCTGGAACTTTCCTGTAGCACAGGCATCCTGTCAGGCCCAAGGAGCACCCAAGTCAGCAATGAATTTCCCCTTTACTCCGCACCCCATCTAGAGGCCCACAAAAGCTTCCAAGTGAAGTTCTTGAGGCAGGAACTGCAAAGTCCTGCACAAAGCCTTTCCTTCCTACTCACAGATGGGAATGCAGGGACTGTTTGCTTCAGTACACTCCATTAGAGAATTTTCATGTGAAGTGAATGGGGAAAAAAAAAATTAAGACAAAATGAGCTTTTCTTCTCTCTTTCCCTTCCCCTCTATTTTTTTTAATTAATTAATTAATTTTGTGTGTGGCCAGTTCAGCCCACCAGGGGGCGGGGCTGGCTGGCATGTGGTGCTGGGGATTGAACCGGGGTCCCAGTGCTTTTGCTTAGCTTGTTCTAAGTAGGTGCTTTAAACCACTGAGCCATCTCACCAGCCCTCTCTATGTTTTTTGAGACAGGATACTGCTATGTAGTTCAGGATGGGTTTGAGCTCAATATGTACACCAGGCTCCTACTTTCAAGTGTCTCACCCCAATCTAAGACTGAGGAAGCACACTAGAAGAAAACTGGGAAAATAGGCAGAGTTGTCTTTCCCTATAAAATGTTCCTCCAGGTTATTAACCTACAGTAGCTCAAGAAGAACACAAATCCATTTTGTCTTTAGGCCAAGGAAAATTTATCTTTTCAAAAGCAAAAGCTCCTTCTGTATTCTTAAGTTAAAAAAGCTGTTGCCCTTAGGTATGTTATACTTGGTTGCTTCACTTTTACTGTTTCTTGAAACAGGGTCTGGCTACATAGTCCACACTGGCCTTGAATGCAGAAATCCTCCAGCCTCAACCCGAATGCTGGGATAACAGATATGTGATACCACAGCTACTGCTTCTCTTTTAGTGATGTTAAAATTTAATAGTTAGCTTGGCATAGTGGTGCATGCCTGTAATCCTTGTAATGAGGAACCTGAGGCAAATGGATCCCTTGGAGTTCAAGACCAGGCAGAACTGCATTGTGACACTGTCTCAAAAAGACTTAAACCGTGAGCTGATACTGCCAAACTCATGGTTTCACCAGACTGATAAGAGATAGGCACTAGATCTACCACCTCACCAGGGTTTTAGCAAATCACTGATCTGAAGGTGGTACACATCCCCACATATGAAGCATCTTGCAAAAAAAGAAAAAGAAAAAGCCTTAAGCTACTTGGGCTTAGATCCAATTATCAGCTTACTGGCACAAGGAGAACAATTTAAGCAGCACGACGATGATGCAATTTTTAAGTCAGGATTTAAGAATTTCGATAGGATCAAAATAATGGGATGAGGTAGCAATGGACAGAAAGAGATAAGCAGAAAGCAAGACTAGTGTGAGGAAACACACCTGAGATAAAAGATCTTGAACACCAAGCTGAAGATGTTAGATTCAATTGTACTATTAATGAAGAATAACTGAGGTTTGAGGAGTCAATGAAGAGTCACAAGGAAAGCAGGGTTTGAAAAAGACTCTCGAGATTAGGTCCACAGGAATGGATGGGACTAAGGACAGATTAGAGAAGAATGAGGTCATGCAGGCCCGGCATCAGAGGGGCTGGGGAGGTAGCTCAGTAGAATAAGCGCTTGCCTGGCAAGTGCAAGGGCCTGAGTTCAATCCCTGGTTCCGCAAAAAAAAAGAACGAGGCAGAAGTCTTCTCAGGACAGATGGGAAGGACAGTGAGTGACCTATTAGAAATCAGTACCATGGAGGAAGAAATCTAAGGTGACACTGAGATGTCCTGTCCGCAACAAATGGGACAGAAAATGGCAGTGTCTGGATCAAAATGAAAGTAAGAACAGTGATTCCCTCAGGAGCACTGAAGCTTGGTGCTGGTCACTGCCATACAACATTTTTTAAAGCCCTGTATGGCCCTGAGAAATTATATTTACATAGTTATTGTTGGGTCACACTCTTTACATTCTAATGTCATCAATTATATGAAACAATTGCGTTAAATAATGTATAGCAAACATTGTAGCAATCAATATATAGCACTCAAATTACCCTAAGCAATGTGTAGAATTTAGTTATTGCAGTAACATCATAGACATTTAAAAAGCAAGAAATTGGTTGTGAACATATAAGTTGCCCTGCATTAACTTGAAAGCACTCGGAAGGAAGACTTTTTATTATAAACACTGTAAACGTATTTCAGTATACATTGCTATGATTGATATTACATACATGATAAAATTCATAGTAAACCAGAATCTGAACATGGGTGAGCAATGTGGGAAATGTTTTATTTATCTCAATGTATTCTGCTACATAAAATAATTCACATGGGAGCAAAGCCATGTCTTTAATGAAATGTAGGAAATTACTGTTATTCTGTTTGACTTGGCATATATTAAGAAACACACTGGGCTGGTGAGATGGCTCAGTGGTCTAAAGCACCTACTTGGAACAAGCTTGGCAAAACACAGGGACCGCGGTTCAATCCCCCAGCACCACATGCCAGCCAGCCCCGCCCCCTGGTGGGGTGTGCTGGCCACACACACACAAATAAATAAATGTTAAAAAAAAAAAAGAAACACACCAAAGGAAAACCCAAGTAGATATAGTAAGAAATTTATGATTCCAATCTCAGAACACAAAGAAACTCTCAGTGAATTCAGCATAAGTAATCTCACAAAATGTGAGAAGTCTTTTTTTATATTATTTTGCATAGTTGGAGAAACTTGTGTCAATGTATATTTTGTGGAAACATCTGTAACTTTTGGTGTTATTCATATTACAAATAAAAATGCTATGAGAAAAGAATGAAAAAAAAAAAAAAAAAAAAAAAACCAAACAGGTGTGGTGGTGCACCTGTATAACCTCAGCATTGGAGAAATTCAGGCAGGTGGTTGGTGTGAATTCAAGGCCAGCCTGGATTACAAAGTGAGTTCAAGGGCCAGGGAGATGGCTCAGTGGAATAAGTGCTTCCCTGGCAAATGCAAGGGCCTGAGTTCAATCCCTGGTTCCACCAAAAAAAAAAAAGTGAGTTCAAGGCCAGCCTGAACTATGTATATAGTGAGACTGCCTCAAAAAGACAAAAAATTTAAAAATATTTCTAACATCATCATCACCTACTAACCCAAAATCTTAAAACCTAATCAATGTCCTAAGCTAGCTGGGGACATGAAAGAGACTCAGTTGCTGCCTCTGATATATGCAGTTTTATTTATTTATTTTTGCTGTACCAGGGATTGAACTCAGGACCCTGAACTTGCCAGGCAAGCGCTTATTCTACTGAGCTATCTCCCCAGTCTATATGCAGTTTTAGTATCTTCTTACCACCACCAAGTTGCTCCCAAGAACCAGTGATCAAAGGCTTCGGAGAGATGTGAATCGCCACTTACCACCATTTCTAACTGCCGTGGATGGCACACACCTTCGACACCTTAGTCCATTCTTGCCAGAAAGCTCAGGATCTACTGTGCCTTACCAAAAAAAAAAAAAAAAAA